AGATAAGTGCTGTAGAAGAGCTAAGGACAAGGAGAGGAAAAGCACGTCTGAAAGGCATCATGGGAGATGTGGTTTTTAGAACAGATCTTCCCAGGTTAACGAGGGGCCGTAGTGGAAGGCACTGTAGGTGGGCAGAAGGAACAGCATGAGACAATCAGAGACACTCAAGGGGGCATGTGCCAGGCTTGTTCACATCAATCCACTTAAAGTAGAGAGAAATGAAAAAGCTGGAGTAGAAGTGTAAGCTATATTATGAAGAGTTTCAAATGTCAGGGTAAAGGGTTTATAATTCAAGAAGCAATAAAGCAGAAAGTTATATAATTATATCCATGCTTTAAACTAATTAATCTGGTTGCATTGAGGAGGATGGGTTGGGTAAAGATGAAAAGAAATTTGGAGAGTAATTAGATTAGTATAGTAGTGGAGATGAGAAATACTGAAAGTTTAAACTGATATGGTACTGGTGGAAGTAGAAAGGAAGGAGTGAGTATAAGAAACATTTCAGGCCTAGCTGTGCAGGCAGTAGGTGCACTGCTGCATGGTGCTGGAGGTCTTATGGGAAGACTTCAGGCTCGTGTCAGGGCCTTCTTGAACATCCTTTGTGCACCCATGATCCTGGCTGGCTGCAGAGCTGGGGGGAGGATCATGCATAAAAACACTATGAAGGGTACCACTCTCTCCCTATCCCTCCTTCCTTCCCTCTCTTTCTCAGGAAATAAACTCTTTTTTAAAAATTTAACTGTCAGGACTAGCAGATGGCATAATGGTTATGTCATTGGACTCCCATGTAGTCAACCATGGATTAAGACCTGGATCCAGTGGCTTCAAACTCACACCAGGCACTTGAGCGTGGCCCAAAATCCCAAGAGGAGAATGGAGAAGAGATTACCATGTGGCCATCTCCCCTGGGGGGTGATTTCTCTCTTTGTCTCTCTCTGTCTCTCCAGCAAGTGCACACACCCTATAGGAAAAGTCTCTCTCTAAAAAAAAAAAATTAACTCTCTTTATCTTTCAAAATTAATTATTTAATTTAAAAAATGAAGAACCATTTCAGAGGTAGACTGTGCATGAATGTGGCAGTGGTTTGGAGAGGCGGCTCAGCATAGTACTTAAAAGTAAAAATGGGGGCCCAGCAGTTAGCGTAATGGCTATGTTGCTGGACTCCCACGTAGTTGACCGTGGTTCGCGTCCTGGACCCGGTGGCTTAAACTCACACCAGGCACGTGTGCATGCGAGCCCAAGATCCCAAGAGGAGAATGGAGGAGAAGGGATTACGGCGTGGCCATCCCCCCGGGGGATTTCTCGCTTTCTATCTCTCTGTCTCTCTCTGTCTGTCTGGCGAGTGCACGCGCCCTACAGTGAAAATCTCTCAAAAAAAAAAAAAAAAAATGGAAAAAATTCCATTCTGCCATTTCCTGCTGTGTGACATGTAAAAATTTTAAGGTCTTTCTATGCCTTGGTTTCCTAAATATAAAACAGGGATAAATAATAGAATGTTGTGACAACTGAATTAATTAATATTTGTGTAACACTTAGAATAGTGCCTAGAGGTGTTGTTATGTAAAGTAATCAAATGTTGGGGAGGACGAGTCAGTGATTTGGAGATGATGCCATTCTCGAGCCTGGACCTGAGAGAATAGTGGTAGCTTTAACTCATTTGCTCAGGAGGGAGATAAGGCTCTGGATCCCAGGAGAAGCCAGACCCAAAGAGATTCGGGGAATCAATTATGCAGAGCTTGACAAGAGTAGTTTGTTCATATACCCCAATATTAGGACATTCCTATCTGCATTTCTGAGTAATTTATTGGGTTAGCAGAAAAGTCATGATGCATTTTTGCATAGAAAAACATAGGAAAATACGTCATGACTGTTCCAGTAACCCAGTACTTTATTCACAGTGAAATTAAGGACAGAAAAGTTTTGACTTTGTATTTCTTTGACAGAATCACGAAATGTGCAGGATTATAATAAAATTTTGCATTGACTTCTACAGAACATGTAAGAAAAGAAAACCAAGGAAATTAAAATCTTAATTTTAATAGGAAAACTATTTCTTGTTATATGTACTTTATATATAAATTAATGTATTGATAAAAATGTGAAAAAATAATACAGTTTCAGATATTTGGGTTAAAGTGTCTCTGAGCACTTGGAAACTTTCAAAGGTTAATGGTATTGCTTTGAAGACAGAGAGGAAATAAATGAGAATTCATAAATTGGAGTAGTAAGAATGAAATAAATGTACCCCTTCCCTCTTCCAAGTGCCACCATACAAAAGGACAGGAAACAGGAAAGCCCCCCAGTGCTGAGCAGGCGTTCCCTGCTAGGGCTCCTTATTCTTCCTAAACATTTCCACGTGAGGGATAAAGGGTTACAATAACAATCACTCCTGAACATGCGCATGTGTTATTATACACAGTACCCTTTTCTATCCAGATTTTAGCAAATTCTGTGGAATATCTCAAATTATATTTAATTTGGCTTGGCATTCAGATGTACAACATAACTTCTTAGGTTTGATAACTTTTTTTTGTATTACCAAGCACCCCATGAGTTCTTTGCATTTTATATAATCACCCAGTTGTCGTGGAAACTTACCTTCTGTACCTTAAAACATATCCATTCAAATGGAAATATCTAATGCTCAGTCCCAGACTGGCCTGAGTGCTTCCTGGATACTATGCAACTAGACATTGGGGCTGAAGAAAATGCTCCCTTCCCTCAGAGATTTCACATTCTAAGTTTTGGTCTTCAACTTGTGGGGGGAAAAAAATAATAGGTCTATGTTTTATAATATATAAAATGCACCTGAATTTTCTAGTAGAACCTTCTCACTTTAACTCTTCGATGTTCTAATATATTCTTAAAGGAAGTAACAAATCACTGGTTACTTGCTATAGCGAGAAGAAATTGAGGGAACGACATGATCCAATACAAAGATCACATGAGCTATGAGATCCTGCCTGCAGACCTTGGGCTCCTTCAGGCAGGTCAGCATCTCTGAGCTCCTGTGTCCTTAAATATAAAATGAAAGTTCAACCCTTACTTCAGAAGATTGCTGCCAAGACAAAATCAGTTAACCCATACCAGCAGTTCAGATTACCAGATGGGGCCACTTTGACTTCAGAAGTGCCCAAAAAGCAGTCCCTGTCCTTAAGGGGTAATATTATTAGTATACAGACAACATTGAGATTCCCAGCTTCTAGAGTACTTAGAGTTGCTGTGTTATAGCATGCAGGAAAGGTTGTATCTAAGTGACTTCAGACGACTATTTAGAAGAAACATATTTCTCATGAATTCTAACCACTAGTTTTTAACAGTCCCTCCACTCCAAGTTTCCATCAGTTGTAACTGACAAGAATGAAACAGTCATCCCAGTTCTTCAATTACTGATTAGCAATTGCCTTCTCAACTATAGGAAAAGCACTGTGCTCATTTGCTAGAATGTCATAGACTAGGTGGCTTAAACAATAACAATTATTTTCTCACCGTTCTGGAGGCTGGAAATGCAAGCCCAAGGTGCCATCAGGGTTGACTTCTGGTTAGGTTTCTCTTCCTGGCTTGCAGATGGCCGCACATTCACTGTGTCCTCACGTGGCTTTTCTTCTATGGGAATATGGAGAGCGAGCTCTGTCTGGTGTCTCTCGTTCTTATAAGGACACTGGCCCCATTGGATCAGGACCTCACCTTTCTGACCTCATTTAACCTAAATTACTAAAGGCTTTGTCTCCAAATACAGCCACTTTGGAGGTTTCTGTTTCAAGTTAGGAATTTTGGGATGATACAGTTCAGTCCATAGCAAGCAAATGCCTTGGAGAAGTAACAATTTTCCCACAAGAATGAACGTTGTTCTTAATTTAATCATTCTGGAAAGCATAGTCAGAAGACATTCAATACAAGAAAAATATGGTCTAAAAAGTGATCACAATTTTTTTTATGTGATCATTGCTTATTGCTATTCTTGAATAAACTGGTATTCACCTGCTTCCTTGGGATATTAATCAACCATCTGTTTATTATAACACCATATTCTCTAATCAGCTCTGTAGCACTAAGCATGTTGTTTGAATTTTATGTTTTCCTTATTACAGAAAAAACTTCTTTAGTCCCCTCAGTAATATTTATTTTTTTAAAGAGAGATTTTTGCTATAGAGCGTGTGTGCTCACCAGAGAGACAGAAAATGAGAAATCACCACCCAAGGGGGATGGCCACACCACAGTCCCTTCTCCTCCATTCTCCTCTCAGGATTTTGGGCATGCACACACACGCACCTGGCATGAGTTTTAAACCACTGGGTCTGGGACTCGAACCACAGTCAACTATGGGGGAGTCCAGTGACATAACCATTATGCCATCTGCTGGTCCTGTCCCCTCAGAAATTTAAGGATTCTTAAAAGCCTACCATCCTATTTCCTAGAAAGAGACTGTCACACCAAAATGTGTTCCTTTATCCAGTTCCTGATGGTGGTTGTAATTCAGGTCTGATGTAGAAGTTATGAAAGGGGAGACTGGAAAGGAACTGTGAAAAGAAAGGCAATAAGCTTCACATGGTGTGCCACAGCCCAAGGCCAGAGCTAAGAGAGGAGCTGAGAAGGAGCAGCACGTCACGGTTACCATGCTGACATCTCCTTTCTCATGCAGCTTCTCCAGGTGATATTTTTCCTAATAATTTAGACTACTTCCATATAGAAGGAGCAGTCTAATAAATTCAGGAAATAGAAATCAACCTTCAGTTTCATCCTTTGATAGAAAAACTAATGATGGGGGTGGGGTAGGAAGAATATACTAAATGTACTTTATTCAGAGATTTAAATTTCACTTTGTGACATAGTGGCTGGAGAAACTATTTAAATGGCTAATGCTTGAAAGCAAAATTGTTTAACCTCAAATGTGGCACAGGATATAAGCATCAGAATGGTTTGCAATATGTTTTTTGTTGTTTTTACCATCCATGTAATAGCTGTTGTTATTTTATCCTTTATTTCATACAGTACCTATAGCCAGTGATATTAATATTGGAATATAACAAATAAAAAGTATATTCTAAACATATTCAAAGTATATTCAGATATAAGATATGTTTCTAAATTCCCCATCGTTAATAACCAGACACATGAAATTCTTACTGGGAACCATTAGATAACATCTGAGAAAAAGAGCTGCATTAATTTTATGGTCTTAATTCCTATAATCTTATGATCATTTTAGGACTTTAGAAGGAAGGGTAAAGGAGTAATTAACATTACTAAGAACTCTATATGTCCCCTTTTCATAACCTAACTTCACTGTGAAGTAGGTATTATGCTTTGTTTTTTATTTATTTATTTCTTATTTATTTATTTCTTATTTATTTATTTGCTATGGGGCGAGTGTGCTCACCAGAGAGAGACAGAGAGAAAGAGAAAGCAAGAAATCACCCCTCAGAGGGGATGGCCATTCCACAGTCCATTCTCCTCTTGGGCTATTGGCACATGTATGTATATAGTGTGTTTTTCAAGATACCATGTCGAGGACTCAAAACCACTCAGTGATCCATGTGGGAGACAGCTGCCTTAACCGCCATGCCATCTGGCTGGCCACATTATACCCTTTTTTATAGGTAAAGAGAGTAGGATTCAGAGAATCTAGATTACCTGATTAAGGTCACACATTTAGTAAGTCATAGGGCCAAGAATCAAATCCTGGTCTTGGAAGAGGAGAAGTTGGAATCTCATACCATTTTGTCCCTCTTGTTTGAATTTAAGACTCACCATCCTATACCCTTTAAGGTGACTACAGCAGAAAAATACAGGCCATTTATTTGCCTTTTACAATCTAGTAGAGAGGATTGTTCCCTCAGATGTTTTGTAATGTCTATCATGTTCAAAATGCATCTAATTATTCTGCTACTTTTAGAGGGAAGAGGATGAAAGAATCATTCAGTGAATTCATCTTTAACATGAGTCTTTTACCAATTGTCATGAGGGAAGATTCTCTTTCAAATAGTTTTCTTAAACAAGAGTTTGTGGTCCAGCCAACACCATGGTGGTTAAGGTGACTAGATGCCACATGTTCCAAGGCTTGAAAAACATGCCGGGTGCTGGGCATGTGTGCATGCATGCTCAAATTCCAAGAGGAGAAGGAAATAGAGAAAAAGGGATTCTAGCATGATCATCTCCCATAAGGGGGTGTTTTCTCACCTTCCCCCTCTCTATCTCCAGTTAGTACATATGCCCTCTGGCAAAGGAAAAACAAGAAAGGAATGAAGAGTTTGTAATGCTTCTTTGCTTACCATAGTTAAGAAAAACATGAAGAACAGAGTTAAATCCAGCAAGAGCTTTCTGTAGTCAGCTGGTTTCAGGAGCATGACTTGTTCAGCACTACTTTCCCCTTCACCGGGCCAGCGGGGCTCTCCATCTCCTGTCACCTCCAAGTAACTGCTGCTTCTTTTCTTCTTTATACAAACCCTTGCCAAGAAACACAAGAGGACTTAGAAAAGTTTGTGGAAAAATGGAATTAAATTACAAGTTTATTTTGGTGCAAAAAAATTTTTTTGAAATCCACACATAGTTTTTTCATGATATAAATTTCCTGTGAACTTTTTGCAGAGCCCTCAAGTATGAAATACACATACACACATCTCATCCTTTACCTCCCCAAAAAAGAGAAAAGGCAGCAATATAGGATATCCTTCAATGTGCATTATATTGTAGTGGGTCTGTGTATATCTATACTTGATTCAATATTGTACTTTTAGGGACAGGGATTTATTTTTTCCTGCTCTTTTTATCTTTCTAGGTAGTATATGTAAGGAAAAACACGGTATATGTTTGAATCTAAACAAAGACCATTCTTTTATTCCTTACAAAGACTGTCACCTGTGTGAAAATTACACACCTTATTTTGGGACAGGAATGAAATTCGCTCTACCCTGTTTCAGAATAACCAATAGCTGAGACTGCTTCAAATCAATATATACCATATTCTTATTTTATCAGATCTTTTCTAGAGTTTCCAATTAATAACTATGAGAGAGAAGAAAGCACCCTTGACAAGGTCTTGTCATACAGTCTCCTTTTCCTCGCTCTGCAACTCCTCAAGATCCTGGGCTTGCACACATGTACCCAGGGTCCAAACCGTGGTCGGCTATGTGGCTTCCAGCACCACAGTTCAGTTTGCTACTGACTGCCTCCCTAAGCTGGGCTATATTTATCCTATAATTACCCCAGGAAGAATTATTTTATTCTAAGAACCTTGTGTATTTTTAAGGTGTTAATGTTCTCAGACTGTCTGTTCTTACCATATTTACAGGCACAAACTGTGGGCCTCCCAGTGACTGTGCACTCACCAAACATGAGGCTGCTGCGCTCTGCCCTCCTCCCACAGTCATCCAATGTGGAAGCCTATTCATTTCCAACATCCGGCTGCCAGGCGGAAGCAGCGTTTATGGAAGAAGAGTGTGTTGACACTCCAAAGGTACGGATACATTGGAGAGACTCAGAGCTTGCAGTTTGGCTAGAGACTTTAGTTTGGTCCCTGAGTGTTATACTTAGACCTTGTTGAACTTTGTCATTTCCTCACGTCACTCAGGAGTGTTGATTTTGTTAAGAACCTAAGAAGGTGCCCAGGGCTGACCTCTCCTCAATGTTTTTTCACTATGACTGTTACATAATATAGTGTGTCCAACCTTGTATGAACAGCTCAGAAGCCCTCTTCTTTCTCCTTCCTTAGCAAAGTCTTTCTCCAGTCTTTTAGATCCCTCACAAGTGTTGTTTATTTTTTTTAATAGCAAATTATAATTCTAAAAACAAGAAATTAACTATTGTGTTGAATTGGGCTTTGTCTGCATTATTTCTGCCTCGTTTCTCCTGAGGGTACTGCAGCTCCAACATTAACAGGCCACCTTCTGTGGTGAATTGAATAATTTTTTGTCCAGTTTGGACCTGCTTAAAGGAGATAAGTTTACACTGTATACTACACAAAGACAGCTTTTAGGATATGGAAGATGACAGCTTCTGCCATTCAGTGGGTGTTTATTGAACTTCTGGTATGTGCTATGTGTATTTAGCATCAGGTGATATATAGAGGTTCATATTAATGAGTAGTAGAATGTCATAAAATAGCACGTCTTGACGTATGTTCAAAGTAGACTTTTTACTTAGCTATGTGAACTTGGGCAAGGTTCAACTCTTTGAACCTTGTTTTTTCTTGTGTAAAATGGGATTACCAGCTCTTTTAGACTACTGTGTGGACTATTTGAGATAGTAGGTGAGAAGTTTGGAGCAGATGGTAGATATTCAGTATTGGCTTCCTGTCTTTTTGGCTTTTTTAGGTAATAAAAAGATGAGTCAGACATGAACTCTGCATCACAGTCAACTAGACTTTCTCTGGTCTAGTAGAAGAAACATTATACATACTAAAGACAGTGTGCTGGGTGCTAAATACACTCACAAAAGATAAATATGATTGGTCCCTTAAAGAGATATACATCCAAGTGAGATTCAAAGGAGGCAGGGGGAGTTGCTCTGGCTGTTCAATCAAGAAAGGCTTCAGGTTAACTATCGGCTCTAGGAATTAGAAGGTGGGCAATCAAATAAAGGACTAATAACCAGAATACACAGGGAACTCAAGTGGCTTACCTGAAAAAGAATTATTAACCCAATTAAAAGATGGGAAAATGAGCTGAACAAAAAAACTCTAAGGAAGACATATGAACAGCCAAAAAGCATATGAGAAAGCATACTTCATCATAAGGGAGATACAGATTAAAACCACAATGAGGTACTACCTAACCCCTGTCAGAATGACAAAGATAAAAATACAAAAAATGGTAAGTGTTGGTGGCATTGTGGTGAAATGGGAACTCTTCTACACTATTGGTGGGAATGTAAATTGGTCCAGCCACTGTGGGGAATAATATGGAGGTTTCTCAAAGGCCAACAAATAGAACTACCATGTGATCCAGCAGTTCCACTCATGGGTGTCTACACAAAGAACAAGAGAACGCTTAGTTGGAAAAGCACTTGCACATCAATGTTGCAGCAGACGAATGGACTGAACAGATGAATAGTTTGAAAAAGTGTGGCATATATACTATATGGAATACTATTCAGCCATAAAAAAAAAAAAAACAAGATCCTGGCATTTGATAGAAAGTGTTGAATATGGAAGATTTATTGTTGAGTAAAGCAAGCCAGGCTATAAAAGAGATATTGTATGTTTCCACCTAATATTTATGAACTATCTGCACTCTATAGTAAAGATTGAAAGATTGGATAACATAAAAGCAGTGCAAATAGTTATGGACACTGGAAACAGTGTGGAAGGAAGGTGGGAGAGGGGAAGAGTATAGGGAAGGATATCAGAGAGAAAAAATAGTGAGGCAAGACATTTGTGCAACACAGGAATGGTTTATTATCTAAATTGCTGATAATGTGTATGGTATTCTCAACTAGTCTGGTCACAGGTATATGTCATGTTGGGTAAATTGTCTTTACAACCCAAATGATGTATAGTGATCGAATGTTTAAAATAATAATAATAAAATGGATTTTTTTTTAAAAAAAAGGCAGACAGAACAGGAGTGGGTGGAGACAAGGGTGGCATCTTTTTGGTGGATGGAAAAGCTGAATAAAAGCAAACCATTTAAGAAAGCCTAGGTCAGGACCAGCAGCTTAAAACTCACGCCAGGCATGGGTGCGTGCATGCCCAAAATCCCAAGAGGAGACTAGAGGAGAGAGGACTGTGTCATGGCCATCCCTCCGGGGGCGATTTCTCACTTTCTTTCTCTGTCCCTCTCTGTCTCTCCAGTGAGTACATGCACCCTATAGCAAAATCTTTCTTTAGGGGCCGGCAGTTGGTGTGGTGGTTAAGGGTCTGGGTTCCCACATGGCTAACCTTGGCTCGAGTCCCAGACCTGGCTTTCTCACTTGTCTTCTCTCTGTCACTCTCTGCCTCTTGCTCTGTCCCTCTCTGTTCAAATAAATAAATAAATAAATAAATAAAGTTAAATAAAACCATTCTTTTTGTAAAAAAAAAAAAAAAAAAAAATCTCTCTTTAAAAAGTAGCTTAGGGGACCAGCAGTTGGTGTAATGGCTATGTCACTGGACTCCCATGTAGTCAACCATGGTTTGAGTCCCAGATTCGGTGGCTTAAACTCACCTGGCACATGTGCATGCGTGCCTGAGATCCCGAGAGTAGAATGGAGGAAAAGGGATTGTGGTGTGGCCATCCCCTCTGAGGGGTGATTTCTCGCTTTCTGTCTATCTCTTTCTGGCGAGCACATGTGCCTTATAGCAAAAAAAAAAAAATAGCTCTCCAAAAAATTTTTAAAAAGGCAGCTTAGGTCCATCTAGGGCAGAGCAGAGCAATAGTTGAAGTTGTCTGAGGAAAGGGGCATGTGGAGGACAGTTGTATGATAGGAGAATGGATGAGACGGCTTTGAACAGCAAGCCAGAGGATCTAGATTTTTTCTCCAGGCTGGTGCTTTCAAGGTAGGGCTGTGTTTTAGGGTCCGTGGGAACTGGTAACGGAACCATGGGGTAGTAGAACAAGGAACACTCTGACCCATGTTGTGCTTCAGAGAATTAGCCTGATGGCTATTTGGCATGCATTGCAGAGACTGGTGGCAAGGAAATAAAAGATTAACTCATAGCCAGGAGGGAGACAACGAAGGCCTGATCTAGGATAGTGGTCTTGAAACTGGAGAGGAGAGGATGATAGAAACAGGAGGGTGCAGATAAAACTGAGAATATTAGGGTCTAGAGAAAAGTCCAAGCCAACAAGTGTTTTTTTGTTTTTGTTTTTTTAAGAGAGATTTTTGCTGGGGCTGGCAGGTGGCATGGTGGTTAAGGGTGCTGAACTCTCACATGGCCGATCGTGGTTCAAGTCCTGGACCTGGCGGCTTGCTTTCTCACTTTCCCTCTCTCTGTCTCTCTTACTCTATCCCTCTTTGGTCAAATTTAAATAAATAGAGAGAGGTTTTTGTTATAAGATACATGCACTCTCCAGAAAGACAGAGACAGAAATGGTCATGCTGCAGTCCCTTCTCCAGTCTCTTCTTGGGATCTTGGGCACACATGCACTCGCACCTGGCCTGAGTTTTAAGTTGCCGGGTCCTGGACTTGAACTGGAGTCAACTACATAGGAGTCCAGCGACATAAGCATTACGCCACCTGTTGGTCCCCCAACAACAAGATTTTAAGCTAAATCGGGAGAGGGTAGGTGCCATTTTCAAAACGCAGGAAGTAGAGCAGATTCAGAAGTTAAGTCTGAGTTTAGCTAGAACATAGTCAGTAGCTGGCAGCTCCATGCTGGCTGCCCCAAGCAGGTGTTAAGCCGAGTTGCTGACCGCTAGTAGTTAGTGTCCAAGCCCTAGCCCAGGCCCCTGAGGACAAGTCCACTTCCTGTGGACAGTCTGACTTCTCTGCTGGTGGTTGCCTAATATATCAAATAACCTCAGATATTACTACTGCATTCCCACTCAGTAAATTAGGGCAATATAATTCATTTATTTTGAAGATCTAAAACCCTCAAAAAATTTAAATGTGGTCTGCTGTATTAAAAATTAAAATGTTGTCTGTGAGGGCATCAGGCCTGAAACAGATTGGGCACTGTCTGCTATATTATATAGGGCAAGCTATTTTTAAAGTGAGTGATTGTTACCGTAACTAGGAAACAGACAGGAAATGAATGATTTTGTGAAAGATCTAGACAGCAGCTAAATGATGTTTGCATTTGTAGAAAGAGCAGTGCCTCGCTGAAACGGCCACCTACACTGGCAGAGCTCCCCCAGGCACCCAGCAAGGCCATAGACAATCCTCTGGTCCTACTTATGAACCACTTCGTTTATGTCAGCAAAAATGCTTTGTCCCTCATCCTTCTCTACTACTATTAGCTCTTTCTTTGGGGTCCATACATAAATGTACACACAAAAGACTGTCAGGTACACTTTACTTGTTCATATACGTCATATGTATTTACTGTAACACTCACACGTCGTTTTTAAAAGGTACTTCATAGCTGCATGTTGCTAATTCCGTTCCTTCCTGCTCTCAATCAGAGACAGGTATTATACAAAACTGAAGACTCCTTCCCTCCCAGGAGTCTTCAGTTTTCAAAGCTGTTCGTAAAATCTCTTAGAGCCTCTGAATTAAAACTTTGATTTGCAGTTTCTATATAAAAAAAAAAAGTAACACTTTTCTGAGATAGTCACCCAACTTCAGGTAAAGATGTACTTTGAACAGTAACTGAGATCCAGAGGTGATACAGGGACCATTTGTGAGGGCAGATGCATAAACCCTATAGAGTAAACCTTTCTCTTTTGGATGTGTCTTTAGTAATAATGAATTTTTTTTAAGCCACTGGGCGCAGGACTCAAATCACACAGTTAGCCATGCGGGTAACTGTGTCATAACAAATTAGAATTTAAAGTTGAGAAAGTAAAACCAGTCATAATCGTGTGTGAAAAATCCAG